TCCTCGGAAGGAAGGTTGGGCAATCCTACTTCCGTAGTGATACTGCCTCGGAAACCCAAGGAGGGGTTGCTATGAGTCAGGGCCGACTCGACGGCAAATAACAACAACATCCTAAAGAAGTAAGAGCCATGACATGAACAGATATATGCACACCCATGTTCATCGCAGTATTATTTACAATAAACAAAAGAAGGAAACAACCTAGGTTTCTACCAACTGAAGAATGGATAACCAAGCTATGGTACATACACACAATGGAATACTATGCAACCCTAAAGAATAACATAAGAGTCTGCAAAACATCACACAACCTGGATGAACTTGTAGGACATTATGCTGAGTGAAATAAGTCAATCACAGAAGGACAAATATTATATTAGTCTGTTATTGTAAAAAGTCAAGGAGAGGTTTATATATGGAAGGAAATTGTCTTTGTTGATTACCAGGGATGGGAGGGGAGGGAAGGGAACACTGTTAGATAGGTAGAGACAAGTATTGATTTGGGTGAAGAGAAGGGCAATGTACCAAATGTGAGTGATCAACACAGTGGCACTGAGGAAGAGGAAGACACAGAGAGGTACATGGGAGGCACAGACAACAAAGAAGAACTCTTTTGCACATACAGTACTGTGTTGTCAGTGAAGGCAAACATGAATATACGGGTAGACAGGCTCAACTATTAGGTATGTCTATGGGGGAGTGTGCCCAAGGCCATATAGGGTTGGCAGACAATGTTTCTACAAGTGTATTGCCATGCTCTGTAAGAATCCCCAGGTATGCAGTACAGCTGACAAGGGACAAGGTTGTAGTCACTTCTTGGCTACAGCCAGCTACCCAGAAGGAGTGAGTAGTTGGACCTGTGGGTCAGGTCCATGGATGCAGGGGACATCAAGCTCAATTGGCATAACATACTACATAATTGTTCCACATCCTATTCTGGTGAGTAGTGACTTGGATCTTAAAAGCTTGCAAGCAGACATCTAGATGCAACGATCTAGATGCTCTCCTCATCCAGAGCAAAGAAGAATGAAGAAAACCAAAGATTCATGGAAACAATTAGTTCAAGCGACTATGAGATCCTCAGTCTATATGACTGTGAGACCAGAAGAACTAGATGGTGTCCAGCTACCACTGTCAACCACTCGGAGAAGGATCTATATAGGAGATCCTGGATAGAGTAGGAGAATAATGTGGAACAAAAATCAAAATCATTTGGGGAAAAAAAAAAAGGGACGAGGTTTATTGGTCTGATAAAGCCTTTTGGAACTACTGAAACTACGGCCCCTAGCTATTCTTCAGATCTGGAATTGAACCCACTCCTGTGTCTTCTAACCAAACAAAAGATAGGCATATGAGGTGAACATTTACACTAGGTAGATACACTCTTTGGAGAAAACAATCCTGGGAGAATAGAAGGGTGTGTATGCACAGGGAGACAGCCTGAGGGAAGGAGCACATGGAGGGAAGGATGCTGGGAATACGTAACTATGGGCAGGAAGTGGGAGGGGAGGTGTTGCATTGTGGGAAATTGCAGTCAATGTCATGAAACAAAGTATATGTGAACTGCTGCATGGAAAGTGAATTTGCTCTGTAAATGTTCACCCAAATCACAATTTAAAAAAAAAAGAGAGAGAAGAGCCAGGAGTGGAGCGCATCCTTGGACCTGAGATTCTGGCAGAGAGACTGCAGCCATAGGCAAGCAGAACCAAGAGACTGGCACGAGACAGTGGCAAATGAGCGAGTAAGAGAGCTGAGTGCCTTCGGGCAGGAAGCTTGCTGGCAGAGTGGGATGCAACTGCTGGCAGAGCTGGCAGAGTTTTGTAGCATTTGCTTGAGTAGGGCAGAGGCTAGGCAGAGGGCCAGAGAGAGGCATGCCTATTATAGGCATGGCCAAGGTGGGGCTTTCCTCATAGAAGAAATGTGTCTTAAACATTCCTGAACCTGAATAGTAACTTGTTACTTCCCTAATAATGCCCATAATCGTGAAGGAAAAAAAAAAAAATAGCAGCTTTACCATATTCCTGGTAGGAAAACACAGATATTTAATATTTTAAATTCCATTTTATAGCAAAGAAATAGATGGACAGTAAAAGGTCTTTTCACTGAAGGTAAAAATCAATAAGAAGCTTCAAAATGTGAAAAATCAAATGAAAAGTACCAATAGCACAGGAAAGACTAAGCAAGTTCTTAGAAATTCAAAGAGTATTTGAACTTAAGTCATTCTTAGAAATCTTTTTACACATAAAGAAAATGAGGCTGAGAAGTAGAATGAATCTTCTAAAGCCATTTAACTAGAAAGTAACAGAGACAAAGCCCTAAGAAAAAGGTCTCTTGATTCCCGAGTCAAAAATCCCAAAAGACAGCATTATGCACTGAATAGCCACAAGATACAAGGAAAAGGCAGAGAGGAAGTTTTGGTACCTAACTAGAGAAACCATTACTCTGGTTAGTCCTTCCTTGAAACATTATATCTCAAAACTGAAGGGAACTTAAAAAAAAAAAAAAAAAGCATGGAACTATAGGATCTTCTCATATTTACATATTTAGTCATCAGTATTTTAACCAGTAAGATGAAGATAACTGTTTGCAAAGATTCATATTATGAGTATATAGCTAAATGAAATATAAAACTTACTTGTAAAGGTAATACTCTGCGTGGTCTATCTCTTCTCGAGATGAAATGTTGTCTACAAACTAAAAGAGAGAAAAAGAAACCCTTGGTTGAGTAAAAATTATGCCATATACTGGGCCGAGGTTATATACTGAACTTAAAAAAAGGAGAAAACATCCATTTTACTGGAACAATGTTCATGCTTAGTGGAACAATGCTCACGTGTTGTGACTCCATCCTTAAAACCCTTGTATTAATGCAAACAAAGACTATGAAACAAAATTGATCAGAGAAAACAACTGAAAGCCAAAGACGAAACTCACTCAGAAAAATAGAAGAGCTCCTCTTGCTTTATTGATAGCTCAAAACTCAGTGCTGTTGAGTCAATTCTGACTCATAGTGACCCTCCTTGGGTTTTCTGAGGTGGTATCTCTACGGAAGTAGGTTGCCTAGTCTTCCTTTTTAAGGAGTGGCTGATGGGTTTGAACAGTTAGCAGTCAAATGCCTTATATACTATCTGACCAGAGTTCCTTTATTTATAACTACTCACCAGTACTTCCTTTTACTTTTAACCCTGATATTTTCTCTACATTCCAAGTTCCAAATATATAAGAACATAATGGTGAAAGGATGAAGACTCTGATGGTTAAAAAAACAAGGCCCAGGGAACAAAAATCCAAGTTTTCATACAAGAATTCAATCTTGTAATCATTTTTCCTACCCCAACTTAAGTTCTGCTTATGGGCCAGTCAACCTGTGATTCCTCTACCAACAAAGCCTCCCTCCAAATCATAAAACTCCTGAACGTATTCTTTAACTGAAGACCAAATACACAAACAGAAAGGACTGTTCTAAGGATGGTTTTCACCCTAAAGTAGAAACTCAGAGGCAAAAAAGATCAAGTGGGAGATGATACATACTGTAAATAAAATTAAAACCTCATGAAGAGAGAGGAGAATAAAACAGGGGACTTAGGGATTTGGTTTAAAATACTTTTTCCTTCCCATTAAAGGACAGATAAAATGTGATTCAAATATAGGACCTGAGATTGAGAACCAGCTCTCCTGATTACTTGCTGTGTGGCATAAACTGAGGCATAACTCCTCTCGGACTTAGTTTCTTCATCTGCATAAGTAGGATAAAGGCACCTGCTCTGAACACTATGAGGCTCCAAGGAGAAAATGTATGTGAAAGCTCATTATACTTTGGCATGCTATCTAAACAACTACCAGGTTATTACAGAACACAGGGCATTTATCTGTCATGTAAGGGATGAACCAACAACCTCTCCAGTTCCTTCCAATCTGAGAATATGAGTCCCTAAACTCTAAGTTATTATCTAGTTAAAACGTTTTCCTATTAAAAGAATATAGTAGAAAGAGGCAGAAAGACAAGACAAGAATTGAAAAGATAGTTTCCTCCTTTTCCCTTTTCTTGATAGAGCAACAGCTTAACTTTTATGGTGCCATTAATTTCTACAAAGAGCTTTCACAACCAAGACTTCATGTTAGCATCACATCATCCACATGAAGACACTAATGGAAAGGAGGAAACTGACCGATGCCTCGTTACTCTATGTCATAATGTAGATCCACAGTAAAGACAAGACCAGATATATTTGAGGGAGGCATCAGAAAAGAATTCTGATGTCAGAGATCTGGGATTGAATGCCAACTTCTCCACTACGAACTGTGTGAACTAGGACAAGTCATTCAATCATTCTGAGCCTTACATATAAAATGGAGATAACGTTTATCTCATAAGGCTACTGTAAGAATTAACAGAGATAATATATGTTAATATATAATATATGTTAATATACAGTAGTTGGCATGTTGTTGTTAGATACCATTGAGTTGGCCCCAATTCATAGCAACCCCACGCACAATGGAATGAAACACTGCCTCATCCTGCACCATCCTCACAATTGCTGCCATGTTTGAGCCCACTACTGTAGCCACTATGTCAATCCATCTCTTACAGCTGGTGTAGAAAGTGTTAGATAATGGCTGCTATCAATTATTATTTCTGATTATCATATAGTAATATATATCAGTTATATACTATATATAATTCATATATTAATAATATCCCTAATATTATTTTTCCCCCATCACTCTGCAGCAGCTTAACATTAACATCCATCCTTTATAGATTTTCTCAGCTAACAAAAACATTTCTAATACTAACAAATAAATACTATTACTTTCAAGAATGCATCGACTCTTTTTGAGAAAATCATGGTATAATAGAGCAGGATATCACATCTTGGAAAAATATTAAGAGAGATCAGACAGAGAACAGTGACTACTGACATCAAAGTCTGGTAAATTTATTACATTTCAATTCAGCCAAAGAAATTTACTATCTTACATAAAATATTAGTAATTGCAAAGACATACTACACTCTGGAAAAATATTTCCTATGAAGGGTACTGTTTGTTTATACTGACTCATCTATATAAAAAATATTTCTTCCATTCTTTCTTCTTTTTCTTTTAAAATACATATATTTAAATTTGCTTACCCGAGATATTGTCAAAGAACTAACAGGCAATTTTCTCTCATATGTTTTATCCATTAAAGATGCTAGTTCAGCTGTGAAGACAAGAAGAAATAAAGAACCTTGTTAAATACACATATTTCTTAAGAAAAATCTTACAGATACAGCTCAAGCCAGATGGTTGCCAACATTATGAAATTAGTATTAAAACAGATGCTTTTTCTTGCTCTTTTTCAGAAATTATTTTTATATAAATTAAACAAAACAAAAGAATATTAGGAGCATTTTAAAAATGATTAATTGGAGGAAGGATTATTGAAAAATTCTAGCATATATTCAGTTTTTAAAAAATAGATCAATAAAGTATCTATGGAAGGAGACACAAGTAAGTGTCAAGGGAGAGAGCCTCTTTAATGCTTATACATTTATTCCAATTCTGACCTATGAACCAGTAAATAATATACCATATATTCAGAAAATTAAAGTTCATCAAAAGGCTTTTATATATTCTGTGAACCAACCAGAGAGGTAACCTGGCTATCCTTAATAATTTTCAGCCTGAATTACTCTCATTTTGGTTCCTTTTAGCACAACATTTGTAGGAATACTTGGTATTTCTGAAATTACACTTTTATTTCAGATTCCACAAGTAGATATGCCTACTCTGATTTTTGGCTTTAACAGCAGACTTGTATTTCCAACCACACAGGTAGCATCTCCATTTGGGTATCTAATAGGTATCTAAGCATTACATATCCCTTTAATTCTCCAAGCTGTCCCACCTTAGTAAATGGCAACATCAGCTGGCTTATTTAGGCCAAAAACCTAGGTGCTTTTCTTGACCCCTATTCTTATCACAACCTATAACCAATCTGTTGGCAAAATTCTACAAGCTCTCCATTTGAAATCTAAATCTCTATTTCTTATCACTACACTGCTAAACCACCAATATTTTTCACCTTTCTTCTGTTATTGCCTCTACCATTACAATCTAATCTCCAGTCTCAGAAATCCTTTTAAAAGGTAATCAGATATTTCTACATACATGTTTATTTATTTATACATGCTGCAAATATAATCCATGGACATAGTAGAGAGTACAGGGGGTGAAGTTATGAAAACTTCTTAGCCATAACCAAATACCTTGAGATAATGAGTCACTAGGCCTGAGAGCTCAGGACCATAGTCTCAGGGGACACCAAGGTTAATTGGGATAACACGGTCCATAAAGACAATGTTCTACATCCTACTTCGGTAAATAGTGACTAGAGTTTTAAAAGCTTGTAAGAGGCCACTTAAGGTGCAACTATTGGTCTCTCCTCATCTGGAGCAAAGCAAAATGAAGAAAATCAAAGATACAAAGAAATAATCCTTCCAATGGACTTATGGACCATGTGAACCTCGGTCTCCATGACCCTTAGACCAGAAGAACTAGATGGTTCCAATCCACCACTGCTAACTGCTCCGAAAGGGATCACAATAGAAGGTTCTGGAAAGAGTGGGAGAAAAATGTAGAACAAAATCAAAATCATAAAAATGAACAGGCTTACTGGTCTGATAGAGACTGGCAGAACACCTTAGACTATGGCCCTTAGACACCATCCAGGCCTGGAACTGAACTCACCCCCATGGCTCAACTTTCCACCAAATGATAGACAGGTCAATAAGGAGAACAGTAACACCAGGGAGGTATGCACCCCTTATACAATCAACCATATAGAATCAAACAGGCAGCACGTGCCCTGGGATAAAGCTCAGAAGGCAGGCAGGGATAGGAAAGAAGGACAAAGGGAACTTGGTAAACACGGACAGGAAGTGGGGAAGAGTGTTATTACATTGTAGGGATTGCAATCAATGACACAAAACAAAATGGGTATGAATTGTTGAATGGAAAACCAATTTGCTCTATAAACTTTCAGCCAATCACAATAAAAAAAAAGGAAAAGAGAAATAATAAAAGGTGATTCTGTCATTCTTTTGTCTCAAGAAGCCAGTGATTTCTTATCATATAATAGAATTCAAAATATTTTCTATGACACAAATGTCTATATAACCTTGTTTGTGGGGTTCTTTTTCCTTCTGTCTCTTATACCAGAAGTAAAATCCATGAGGCATGAACTTAATTTACTAATATTATCTCAGTTCCTAAAAAGTGCCATAAAATGAGACTAAAAGAGCAACATCTGTCTAAAGAAAAAGATGAGAAGGTAGGGAAGGGCAGGAGAACTGAACAAAATGGGGAAATCCAGAGTAGAAATGTGGAGAGTGCTGACACATTGCAGGGATCACAACCAATGTCATGGAATACTTTGTGAATGAACTTGTTGTTGTTGTTATGTGCCTTCGAGTAGGACCCGACTCGTAGCGACCCCTCCTTGGGTTTCCGAGGCAGTATCACTAAGGAAGTAGATTGCCCCATCTTCCTTCTGAGGAGTGGCTGGTGGGTTTGAACCATTGGCCTTCTGGTTAGCAGTCAAGTGCCTTAGGCACTACGCTACCAGAGCTCCCCTGTGAATGAACTACTGAATGGAAATCTAATTTGCTATGTAAGCTTTCACTGAAAGCAAAAAAAAAAATGTTTTAAAAAAATGTCACAAACGATACTTAATAAATATCTAGAGAAATGAACAAAAGGAAAGAAGAAAGAGAGGGAAGAAGAGAAAAACAAGGAGGGAGGGAAGAAAAAGAAGGGAGTGTTTGAAAAACTGCTTTAATTTCCAAGTTATTTTTTATTCTGTGGTAGAAAAAAAATCAGTGTTAAGCAGTAAGGAGACACTCAGAAGTGATTGATTAACAAGTTTTTGTTGAAGGCCTATGCATTTAACACTGTAATATAACCACACTTTTTTTTTTTTTTTACCGGTAATTCTAATCAGTTTTTTCCTCTCTCCTCTTTGGAGGGAAATGCTCTTAATGAATTGGTAGGCTACTGGGAGGAAACAATTTTGGCAAACCCCCAAAACTTGCTATGATGTAAAAGTTATTATTATTTTTCTTCTATGACCATCTTAAAGGGATTGATGCCAGGTTACTGAAGAATATTCATTTATTTATTTAAAGTCCCTAAAACCTGTTCATGCTAAGGCAAATTAATATTGCTAAATCTACTTGGTCACAGAATAGATATTAAACAGCTTTGATACCAAATCTCTACGATCAACTTGATAACTGAGGCTCTTGTTTTGAGATGCTAGGCAATATATGGAATCACCTTGATTTACTCACAGTTCATTCATACCTTCACCAAAAAAAAAAAAAAAAAGGCAAGATAAAGATCTACTGGTTGAATTATAATCACACAGTGTGAAATGTATAACTGTGGAGAGCCGCACCACGGCATTCTATTCATCTTAACAAGGTCACAATACTTCCCTTCTTTGTTTTGGGCCTGTTGGACATCTTCAGACCTAAGTTTGAGTTTCGAGACCTGTCTTGAGCCTTCACTTCTGTATAGAAGTGATTCAGCACTTTTAAATTTACCCGCCTCTTGCCACATATCTATTTTTTATAGGTTTCCCTATTTCACCATCAACAGCAACGTCACATCACCCCATTCCTTGATCCTGCCCCTTTCCTTTACCATATATAAGTATTTGTTCGACATTCAATAAACGAGACTTGATCGGGCTTTCGACTTGTCTCCATTCTTCGTGTCTCTTGTCCCCTCCATTTCCACCCCCTCCTCCAGGTCCTAGGTTGACTGTCCCGCGGGACGGGACATATAACCAAACACTGGGTTGAGTTAGCTTCACTGGTCACCTCTACTGTGTTAACTCAAGATTCCATTTTAATCCTTCACACCAAGGCATTTTCAGTCAAGTCAAATTGGCTGGGGCCCTCAAAAAGGTAACAGCTGCAGAGCCAGCATCTGATGAATAACATTTGCATACTGCAAGTCAGAGAAAGGTTTGCTGCTAAGTATAATATGTGACCAATCACCTCACCTTAGAGTGCTGACGTGATGAATGAGGCAGAAAACTGCACAGAGCAGGGATGGCCAGCAAAGCTAGGGCAGCTGTGACACAGGGAGCCGCACTGCAGGCTCTGGACTCTGCTTCAGCAAAGTCATGCTTCATGTTTCAGCGAGGGCCGGCAGACGCCCAGGTTTTGTTCAAAGGGAAATGGCAACCAAGATTGTTTTCTTGCCTGTCACATAGCTGGAATATATATTGTAGCTGGTGGCTGAAGACAAAACAAAAAACCAAACCTACTGCCATCAAGTTGATTCGAATTCACAGCTACCCTTTGGGACAGAGCAGAACTGCTCCATAGGGTTTCCAAGACTGTAAACATTTACAGAACTAACTCTCTCATCCTTCTCCTAAGGAGTAGCTAGTGGGTTTGAATCACTGACCTGGTTAGCCATCCAATGCTTTAACCACAGCACCAACTGAGCTTCTGGTTAAGGACAATAAAGACTAAGCGGGAAAAATGATCGAAAATTTTAATCCTTCATTTAACAAAACTTAGGCTGTATAGACAACATGAAAGTATGTCCAGAAAATGAAATGTATATATTTTATATATGTCTGTGTATATCTATATAGGTATATATACCCACAAAAGCCCCAAACCAAACTTGTTGCTATTGAGGCAATTCTGATTCATACCCTATAGGACAGGGTAGCACTGAACCATAGGGTTTCCTAAGCTGCAATCCTTATGAAAGCAGTCACATCTTTCTCCCATGGGAGGGTGGTGGGTTCAAACTGCTGATGTTTCGGTTAGCAGCCCAGTACTTCAGTCTCAGTGCCACCAGGACTCCTATATACATACAAATATACATGTAATAAATGTATATAAATGCTTTTTGTTTGCAGTCAATAATACCATTGATAATCTAAGGACATAAATGTCAGATCCTACCTCATCTCTAGAGCCTAGTTTGTAATTCTGATTCCATAGATTTGGGGTGAGGCAAGGGGAATATAAAATTTTCAACACCTGCCCCAGGAGACTGTGATCAAGCCAATCAAGCACTAGTCAGTTATGTCTGTGAATGACCATAAGAGGAAATGCAGAGGAAGTCTCTGATATTGCTACTCAGCTCAAAGAGGCTATTTAATGCAATTCTGTTTCTGGAATAAGATGTACT